GTTGTGAGCTATTTTGTAGGCACTCATACTGTATTGAAAATATAGCCTCGACAAATTTAAACCTTAAAACAAATTGGAAACTCAAAAGCTTCCTTCGGGGGTTAGTTCAATGAAAATGGGCAACATTTGCCAATGTAATTTTACTGTAGCCATGTCGATTCACGACTCTGCTTGTCACAGAAACTCAAATGAAAAAGGCTGCCACGCTTTACAGCCGAACAACTAATTGCTTTCAAAAGAAAATCAGTTTTGCCACCTGCATGGTCATGCGGCTCAGGGTTGATTGCCAAGCCTCTATTGACATGTTCGTGGAAAAAAAAAACAGGTGATTCACCGTATTCTCCTGCTTATAAGACGCCCCCTATAATGGACATCAGTGAAAAAGAGCTTTCCAGCTCATCGGGTTCCTCCAGTATAAATAAATAAATATTCTGATTCTTTAATCCTGGTATTTAAAAATCAAACGCTTTGGGGTGCGTCTTAGAAAGCAGTGTCACGAGGTTTATGTAACTTTTCTAACAACGGGCACAAGTTTTGAGTGCAACGAACCATACAATCCGGAGAATACGGTAACATTTGTATTCCCAAAACAATCCCCTAATGTTCCTGGATTCCTAGCTCTGAGTTTGGGATCGAAAAGTATCGGTTAATATTATTATACCCCTGAGCTCTAGGTTCAAACTCTCCTTGCAGAGAGACTCCTAAATGTGGAGCGCTGATGTTGTTGTCCGCTTCAACCTGCATCGCTGGGGTAGTGATTTGTGATTTTTTTTTTTACTAAGTCATGATCAGGTGACGGCAGATTACACGGGTACTGCTTGGAAGCACTGGATTAATTGTGATTTCTACTGGTGCAAATACATGTTTCTTATAATAATAATTACATATTTCGCTACTGGCAAAGGAGGTTCCAATGGTACATGTTTCTTATTGTATACCTATGTGTACACACACACATCCGCACGTATTACGTACACACGTCGTTACGTGCATGTTATTAGGACAACACAGTGTTTATTTGTTGCATGTGACTATCCCCTTCGTGATTCATTCCTTTACGAATGAATAAAAACGAGCACTCGTGTTGGGTTTCCAATGCTAATGAGTCAAATGCATTCTTTTTACTGAGGTTACGTATACCATGGAATTGTGTTTAGCGTGTTATTTTCTAACGTTATTACTGGCTACAGATTCAGAGCGGAGACGCTTTGTTTGCGTCTTTGCTGATCCCTTTGATCGTGGAACTCAAAACACACCCTTTTGCAACGAACTGCCCTGGCACGAGACATGATGGAACTCCTAATAATATCGCAGCAAAACTGATGCATATATTTTTTTTCACCTGCCCTGAAAAGGAAGTTCAAGAGTTCCAGAACCAGGCGTTTCTTCTCTTCAGTTCGAGCATCACGGACCGACTGGATTGGGACCATCAGACTCATTGCGCGTTGAGAACTCCTCTGTGACCTCTGAGAGGTAAAATCACGTCCAAGGCTCTCTGAAACGCTGCGTCGCCAGCAAACTCCACGGGGTTGCTGACTCAGCTCCCTGCCATCTGCCACCGAAACTACGCGGCCACCTACATAGTGTCTAAGTATATATATACACACACACAAAAGAACGTGATTGAGGTTTGGGTGTCTGTTTCACCAGAAGAGGTGTGGCTATTGGGACCAAGAGGGGGGTGGGAGAGTTGGGCTGTGGGGGAATTATGAAGCAGGCTGGGCCACGGACGTGCAAAAGGCAAGGTTATGGGGAAGGTGTTGGTGGAAGGCGAGGTGTGAATTGAAGCCCAGGCAAAGCCATGAGCTGCCTCACGTCATGCACACGTACATACAGTACCAACGGAGCATTGCAAGTCCATTAAAACGTTTCCATCGTGTGACTGTCGCGATCACGTAAGCGGATGACTGTTGCACCGTGCAGTGTTAATCCGCGATTTTTGGTGTTCCGTTTCCCGCGACAGATGTCGTTCCGATTCGAATGATGCACAAGCTGCCGCCACGGTGACGTGGGTCATTTAACTAGACCCCCAAAAGAAAAGGGATACATCTGTGGTTGATTTTGTTTTGGGGAATGGAGCGGGTCGTTGGAAGAGCGGCATTACGAATGTACAATCTGCGAAGCCAGAGAGAGGGCGCTCGACATTACCGGGTTTTCTTTGTCGGGGCGTTGCGTTCCGAATTTGCACGTGAACAGTTTTTGGGTGGAGTGTTTTTTTTTTATATATCAACTCCGCGTCGAGAAAGATTTCGCGCAGTGTGTAGAACTCTCGCGGTTCCAGAAGTGCACTTTGAAACGTACAACGTCCCGCCGTTTCCCCGCCTAGGATGCGCGAACGAGATTCGAGTGCGGCGGTTAAAGCTTCCTTTTGTTGTTGTCAGCAACAAGATTTACAATCCAAGGAAAGGTGGAAGTGGCAACTGCAAGAAGGCGCGCCGTTGAGCAGCAGGAGGAGGAGACGCGACATTTGGGCGAAGGTCCACGCATACGTGAGCGCACTCGCCGCACTCAAAACTCGTTGGTGCCATGAAGGCGGCGGCCAAATGCCATCCATAAGCAGACTGTTCTCAAAAAAACAATCTAGATCGCCGCTAATCCAAAACATTTGAAGGGGGCACACACAAAATGCAACGATAGGCCTGACGACACATTTTTTTTCCTGACGTAAATTTAAAGCTAAACAGAACCTAAACAAATGGTCAACTCTTATTACTTTTCACGCACGCGCCAATTTTCTTTTTTAAAGTAAACGTGGGGACAACAAGGGAAAAAGTAGCACAGTACATACGGCTATATATATAAATATGAATTACAAATCTTGATGTGAAGCTTTCGTGACTGCAGGAATCCATACTCTTTGGTTCTTTCGGTAAAGTCACGTAGGTATCTACGTGACTTTAGGTATCTACGTGACTTTAGGTACCTACGTGACTTTACCGAAAGAACCAAAGAGTATGAATTACAAATGTATGCACACATATCACAGCATATTTGTTATACTGGTAGGAACCTCCTGGTTACACCAGCCCACAGGGGATTATTGTAATCCGTCCGTCCGTCGTGCATCCAAAAATGGGAGGGGTGGGGCTGGGTGGAGAGGGTGGGGAGGGGCTGGGTGGGGAGGGAGGGGCTGGGTGGGGGATGGGAGGGGTGGGGCTGGGTGGGGAGGGGCTGGTCACCCCGTGGTGCCCTTATAAAACTCAACGTTTAACCTACTCACGCCGGCTTGTGCCCGCCCTCACAGTCGGGCATGTTTGCGGAATACACCACGTGGTGCCGCCGTTGACTCTGGCCATTGACCGAGCAACCCAACGTTCCTACCAGCTCCCTCCGCAGGAGAATGTGTTATGCAGCATCCAAAGAAAATTTTGTATTTTGATGTTGACAAAAAAGCAAACGACATCGGTTATATACTGTATACACACACACACAACAGAGTTCTGACGCATATTGATGTTAGATGGTGAATGGGGGGCATTGCAGTCTGGATTTATACAAATGCCGAACGAGATCCTTCAGGCGACGTCATGTCCCCCGCTAAAGTTCTCGCCACTCATTCGGAAGCAATTTTATATCACGAACATAAAAACCCCAACGTAGAACTCTGAGGCATCCATTGATTGTGCAGAGCCCCGTTCGTGTGTACGTGTGCATGCGTGTATGTACATGCGTGCGTGTACGTGCGTATGTACGCGCGTGTACGTGCGTGCGTGTACGTGCATGTACGTGCGCTGCGTGTGTGTTCGTGTGCGGCGTGCGGGTTTCTCGACCGTCAAGCGAGCCAGGAGGCTCCACGTCGCTCACAACGGAAGGGGCACGCGCGCGCGGGGCTCTGAAGGTCTCTGGAGTAAAAAGATGAAGAAACAAGAAAAGCCGCTGCTGCTGATGATGACGACGACGACGCCGATGAGAATGAGCTCCGGTAGGATGACGGGTGGGCATTCGCATGCAACGCGCGAGGTCGTCTACACGGCAATCAATTTGACTCAAGTAAAAACATTTTTTGTTAAAACCATCAAATGATTTTCACGTGTTTTTTTTTTCTTTCAACTTTTTTGTTTTGTTTTAAACTGCCAAAGCGCCACTTGATTCAATTTCAGATTGGAAGCCTTGACCGTCACCGGAACTGCGTTACCAGAAAACGAGATTCCTGACAAGGAAACGGCACTGTGCAACAGGCGAGGCGCTACAGGCCCGTCCACAGCGCCAATGTCCCTCAACTTCACCTCCTGGCCCTCCACTCCCGTCCGCAATGCGGGCCTTATAACCTTTTCCCTTGTCCCCGATACATTTTAAGTGTCCTAAAATAGGGGGGGGGGGGGGTATAGGCATCATATTGAGTGCAAACATTAATTTATAAACGGGGCCTGTTTTGTGCAAATCGTGCAAGCAAATGGGACCGAGGCCAGCGCATTTTATTTTGTCCCAAACAAGGAAATCAGGGCTTTTAAGCTAACGATCCTAAGAGATTTTGGGATCTGTATCTTGAGATGTGAATAACGGTCTCACAGACATGCTCGATCAATCGGGTCCACTCGGGCCATTGCGGAGGCAAATCGATGTCTCCAACGTCACCCCCTGCCCGGGGCCGACGAAATGGGATGCTCCAAACCATGATGGCCCGCTCCACGTGTGAGGAGGGATCAGGTGCGACACAACGGGCTGCTGCAGCTCATACAGGTGTGGCGGTTTATCTGTGGGTCATTCCATTGCACACAGTGGCGGGGTGGGTGGGTTGGTGGATAGGGGGGGGTGGGTTTATGAAAATTCCCTTTCACATGAGCAGACACATTTTGAAGTATGGTTAAGTGCGAGCATAACCTGCGGAGGTCATTGACCAGTCTATGATACATCGCACGCCACTGATAAGTTTGTAAAAAAAATATGTGACTTACTTGACGATATACAGCATGTGTATATGTATGTGCATATATACACACACATATGTAAGTGTGTGTGTGTGTGGGTATATATATATAAATGACATTGATAATCATGTATGTTTTTCAGAATTTGGCAGTTTTTCGATTTCAGTGCATGTAAGCATACATTAGATTTCATAGTGCATATCAACCGCTAAATTTACATTACAGTATTAGTTCAATATAGAACCGTTATAGAATAGCTAGCCCTAATATATACGTGTCATATAATTATATTTTATGTACAGTATACGTATAGAAAATGTATGAAGTGCAATGAATTATTTTATGCATTGAGTGATTTGTTTCAGAGTTTTCTCAAGTAAAATTTGCCTCAGATCCCCGATGGAAAAGCGCGTAGAAGCTGCATTGCACTAATTGATTTATATCTCACACAGTTTAGCACTTCATGCAAAGTTTTTTTTAAAAAAATGTTTCCTTGGTTGTATAAGCCGTGATGTCGCGGGTCGTCTTCTGGGTGCCATCGCTTGACCTTTGCTTGACCTTTGCTTGACTTGTTGACCAGGAGATTGTCCACCTCCCGCCCCCCCGACACAGTCCGCAAGGCCTCCTGCAATTGTTTGGCGGCGACAGCAACAACAGGAAGGGCTGTCATCGACACAGCCACATCACTCATTTAAATGTGCACGTTAAAATGTATTTATTTATTATTCATAATTTACTCATCATCTCTAGATTGAATACTCGTTTCTTTAGAATTGCTTTTTGTGTTGGCTTCGTTGTTCTCGCCCCCCCCCCCCCCGCACCTTCGATTAGTATTGAGTTAGACTTAAAATTTTAATCTAAATTGTATTATGATCGTTATTGTGATCTCGCATCAAAATGAGGTTTTATTTTGCACAGCTTAGTACGCAGCATAAACAAATGGTGCTTTTGCTGGAAGATGTTATAGTTTTTGTAGGGGATGTCTCAAATTGTGTACAGTAAATTTTATCTTGTAATTTTATTGTTTTCTGCGGTTGCACCCGAATCAAGAGCCTAATGGCTCACAGGGTTATTCCAAATAAATGAAACTGAAAACTGAAAAAGACTGAGCACGGTTCGCTACATACAGTGCGAAAGGAGTGCAACGTACATACACACGTAATAGATTTCTTGGGTGAGGCCGCATTATGATCTGAGGCCCTCCGCCACCCCACACAGGCAAACAACATGAATTGTTTTGTGCACGACCATTCACCGTGCCAATTTAATAAATAAATATTTCTCGGTTCACCCATGGGGAAGTTGAAAAACGATTCCATTTGCTAAATTTGGTTGTGAGTATTGCTCTATAACTCTTTAAAAAAATATATACTGTGGCATTTTAACACGCAACAGATTTCACACGGACAAGCGAAAAGGCAGCCAGAACAGGCACGGCCAACAATTGCCCAAGCTCTGTAGCCCTATATTGGGACGTTTGGCCAACTACATTTAATGAGTATTCATACACACGGCAGGATACTGGAGTACCTGGAGAAAATGAATACACGCAGAATGGGGGGGGGGGGGGGGCTAACACAAAATCCTGTACAGAAGAAAATCAATCCACTTGCACTGCCATACCCTCGTGAGCCGGGAGATGACAACTTTGGGACCCACTGGTCGGCAGTGCCATGAATTTGTGTGATCTGCACAACCTCCAAAGTGCTGGATTTACAAAACTCATATCATCTGCTCCGCTCCTGTAACTCTTCATGTTTAAGTGTTTCCAATGTAATCTCTGTTGGCTCACGCAGAACGAGATGCTCAGGATGTAATCGTGCCAAAAAAACGTTGATGGCAATACACCTCCGGACACTTTATACCCCCTGCCAGAATCCGCAGCTGCTGGACAGTAGACATTTGCATACCTGTCAACTCCTTATCAGTGCCTACCTTAGTACAGACCAATTCAGACCTTATTGGTCACCCCGTGCCCTTATAAATCTCAAAGTTCATCCTAAAACGTCCCATCACAAGAGAGAAACAGACATTTTTTTATGAACCTAAAAACTAAATTTCCCTGTACAAGAATACGGGGTAAACTGTATGGGTTGACAGGTTTGCTTTTGACCTCCACGATCTACTCTAACGGTGTCCCAGTCTGGCCTTCCCCTTGCTCGCCAAACTCACGGAGCATCTTCGAAATAACTTTACAGTCATTATGAGACCTCCTTTGCCAGTAACAAGATATAGAAATTGCTTTTACCCTTTTAACTGGCACAAAAAACTGACACCTTTATTCAAGGACAGTGCATATTATTATCAGAGTTGTCTCTTTTGTTTGCATTTTGACTGCTTGTGTTGTGGTTATTGCAAACATGATGCCTTGAATAAAGGTGTCAGTTTTTGTGCCAGTTAAAAGGGTAAAACCTATTTCTATAAAATTTACAGTCGTTATTTTTTGGCCTGATCATATCTACAACACTTACCGACCTTGTTCTCTAATAGACGTCTGCAGCGCTTATCCTGTCTAGCCACGAGATTCCTAGCATCCGTCTCAGACACCTGTGCCCCAACAACTTCGGTTCCAGCCGCTGAGTTTGGGGTCCAGCTCTCTGATCCGTGCAGCAACACGGATGACGCAGATGATGCCGTTTCAAACGTAGGCAGCCTGTCCGTAACGGCCGTGTTTTGAACAGGAGCTGTCTGCATTTCAGACAAAATCCATTTGCATTTGTACGCATCGCTGGCTAGTTTGTGCTTACTGTCTTGATTATCAGTCAAACGCTCGAGAACACATTTCTGCAACAAACTGCCCGCCTTCAGCAGAAACAAGCTGGCAATTATTTAATACGCTGCTATCCATAACCTCCGTCTAATGCCCTCATCAATTATTCCTCTCTTGCCTGCCGTGCTTCCTCCACTCTCTCTGCTCGACGATTCGTCCCAGTGGGAGCCGCAATGTGAAACGAGATGCGAGCGTATTCGAGTTACACGCCCGGGCAAAAAGGCACGGCTCATCAATAGAGCGACTGAACGATGCGGTCAGCAAATCAGAATGGATCGCGCTTAATGGTGTCGGTGAAAATTCAGCATCCACAACATAAATAGCACCCGCCTACCATATTTGTCTCTCCGCAAAATTAAATAAATATGGGAATAATTTATTTATTTTTCACGACCCACAGCCTTCTGAGAGAGCATCGTGTTGTCAGCAACAGCGGTTCAAGACAAGCAAACACAGGGCCGGTATCGACGATGGGTCAGGGATTCATGAAACGGGCCAACATGCATGGCTATGCCTTGGTACTTCAAATCTGTGCTTAACAAAATCTCAAGAGCGCGCCTTTAAATGTTGCATAATGTATGTCGGTGTTTTACAAAAAAATACATACAGTGCTTTTCAACACTTTGTTACCTTATTATTTATCACGTCCGTGCCTGAAGGAGTTTTAGTTTTAACGAGCTACGCAATAGGATCAAGCTTTTTGTTATTCCAATAAAAAACTCAAATTTTGATGTTTACTTTGGCAAATACAATTTCTCAAACTGGGTTCCACTGTAGATTTGAAGCTTTCGTGACTGCAAGGATCCATACTCTTTGGTTCTATTCGGTGAAGTCACGTAGGTAAAAAATAAAACAAAAATCACGACGTTTTGGCCACAACACAAGTGGCCTTCTTCAGGTGAAGGAACAGAACTGTCGGGATGACAGCGCTTCAATGACCGCTGCTAAGATTCGCAGCGTCTTTTAAGCTCGGTGGGAGGAGCAGGGAGCCTTGACAAAGGAGTTTACATATCAAAAATAGCAGTGTTAAAGTGTTGAAACAGCAGGGTGTTAAAGTCAGAAAATTAGCATGGGGGATTAGCATGTTTTTGTTGTGTAGAGGGAGCGGAGGATGGGTCACTGTGTGTGTGCAATAGAAACGGAAAAATTAAAGATCGGCAAGAATGTGCTGTGAGGGGAGAGTAGAAAAAAGGGTTTAATAGAAAGTTCGGAAGGAATATGCTTGGTATACCATTACTTGAAATTGCTGTTAGAAATTAGTTGACGTTTGGTATGATTTAAAACGTATTTCCAATGGTTGCTTAATTTGAAGCCATCCGCTCGGTTGAAGTTATGTCTGTGTTTGTATATCTGAATGGCTTCGTGGACAAATCTCTGGTGATAACCTGCAGGTTTACAGAGAACCTTGGTATCGGAGAAGACAATCTCATGATCACTTTACCGAATAGAACCAAAGAGTATGGGTTCCACTGGTTCTTACACGACAGCATTTTTTTTCAGATCTGACAGTTTCCAACTGTTTACAACGGTGTACTGTGCCAGCACAAAGCTTTCAATTGTCTCATTAAATGTATGAAACAATCATCATTTACGACCCTCTGTCAATCCACTGCTGGATGAAGGCCTCCACCCCCCCCCCCCCCCATAATGTCAGTTTGATCACACTTCACTCCTCTGGCCAGTGGAGGATGCAGAAGAGGGGGATCCCGGGACCGATTCGGATTTCACTCCCCCACAATGCCACCACTCGCCCCGTTTATTGCCAACGTCATAGCAAAACCACTGCCCAAGTCCAACATTCTAGCTAGAGGTGGCTTACTTTTAATAAGGTGAAGTGAGTGATGAAGCGACCCCCTTTCTTTGTAGGAGCACCCCATCACACAAATGCCACCTAATGCATGAATTAATTTTAAATGCGTAAGACAGTAATGTGCACAATTTATGCATAACGTGTACATTATAAATAAACCAGGAACACATTTTCCACGACATTGATGAATGCCACTTAAAATGTTACGTGCATTTTGAAGTTGTGTTTGCGAGTTACTGTACGGTCTGTGGTGTATTGCTTCAAAAAGTGCATTCATCAAGTCACGGACGGCTGAAACACAAGCATCACACAACATTATGAATACGACACAATGCGTTGCACAGCCCTGACAGATTAAGTGTCCTGTGATCGTCGTTGAACACAAATGAGACATCACAAGGACTGCTTTTGCAGTGAGGTGTGCTACCCAAAATAAAATCGATAGCTGGGCCTACATCTTATAATTCGGAGCGAATACAGTTCTCTTCCGCAAGACATATTTTGACATATCTTCTTTGGGTCTTTCGGTAAAGTCACGTAGATAGGTTGAAAGAAAATAACAAAAAAACTACGACGTTTCGATCACAACAAAAGCGATGACGATCTATCTCCGTGACTTTACCGAAAGACCCAAAGAATATGAATTTCTGCAGTCACGAAAGCTTCAAGTCAACATGTTTTGACAGTTGTTCAAAATCGTCTTCTGGAAGACGGTTCTCCACAATGTATGTGTATGTTGAACTTCTTTCGCACCGTACGTAGCCAACCGTGCTCATCGCAGGCGTGAGGGGGGGTGCTGCAAAAAAATCCCTCACTAACCGAGGTGACAGAAAGACACCACCACCACCACCCAATCAGAATAATCTTCCATAAGACATCTCTCGCCATGGCTCTCTGTATAGTACGTCACAGCCTATGCAAAGTAAAAGCAAAAACAATCATGGCCCAAAAGTTCAACGTGCGTCTTACTTTCCCAAGTGTCTCATAATCCGGAGAACAGAGTAACCTTAAATTTTGATTTAAAGCTTTCGTGACTGCAAGGATTCATATTATTGGTAAAGTCACGTAGAAGGGAAACAATAAAATAATACAAATATAAAACAATACAATTCTCACGACGTTTCGACTGCTAACGTTAAAAAAAAAACGCCACTGTTTTTTTTTTCAAATTTTCTTGCTGTGGTTTTCACACCTGATGATGATTGCTTGTGTTGCAGTCGAAACGTCGTGAGAATTTTATTGTTTTATATTTTTATTATTTTATTGTTTCCCTTCTACGTGGTGACTTTACCAAAAGGACCAAGAATAAAATTAACAGAGTAACCGTTGAACTCGAGATCGGCTTCGACAGCAAGCTGGACAAATTCAACATATCCCGAAGTTTACTCCCTTCAGCCGAATCTAATACACATGTAGTGGAATAAACAGGCGCATGGGGGTAATTGGTGCGTTTGCGCGGGAGCAGGACACTAGGGGGTCATATTGGAACGATGAGGTAACGATTGTGCCAATTAAGCTGGGGGGAGCCAAGGACGGCTGTGATTGGCTGGTGTTGTTATCAGGGCTGAGTGGCGTCTTGAAGTCTGGCGAAGTAACAGGTGCACGGACACGTGGAGCGTCGTTGGGACTGCGGGTTAATTAATTGGGGTGTAATGAGAGCGGGGATAAATTGGGGGCGACGCGAGGAGAAACGGTGAGTTGGAGTCGGGGGCTGGACGAGGCAAGACGTGGAGCAGCTGGAGAGAGAAGCAGCTAGCAGTGGAGAGAGCAGAGTGATAGCGAAGAGCGGAGAACAGAGACGAAGCAGTTAGCAGTGGAGAGAGCACAGTGATAGCGGAGAGCGGAGAGCAGAGACGAAGCAGTTAGCAGTGGAGAGAGCACGGTGATAGCGGAGAGCAGAGAGCAGAGACGAAGCAGTTAGCAGTGGAGAGAGCACGGTGATAGCGAAGAGCGGAGAACAGAGACGAAGCAGTTAGCAGTGGAGAGAGCATAGTGATAGCGGAGAGCGGAGACGAAGCAGTTAGCAGTAGAGAGAGCACGGTGATAGCGGAGACGAAGCAGCCAGTAGTGGGGGAAGCACAGAGACATCGGAGCTGACGGAGAAGTGGAGAGTGGAGAGACAAAGGCGGCGAGCGAGTCGAGTGAGGCACGGCGAGCGAGCTGTGGCAACAAGGGAGTTGTGGAGCATTGAGGACATGTGGAGAACTGTAAATAAAGTGGTGTTGGAAGAAAGACAAAAGTTGTCTGAGTGAAATCAACCACCACACACACAAATCCAGCTTAGGAGCTGGGCGATTCCGCAGGCTTGGAGGTCAACCATGTACCGTGACCCTATTTAAAGGGGGGGGGGGCATGTAAAACTCAAGGTGGGCACGACAGCCACTTTAAACTTTAAATAAACGAAAAATGCTAAACACAATGAGTAACGAAGCGATCTGATTTTGTCTATCGTACACTCACGGTGGCTAGAAGACGTTAACTTCCTCGCCTGGCATACAGAAGGCTGTGGGTTCGATCCCGACCCTGACACCTGTATATTTGAAGTTTGCGTGTCCTCCCCGTGGTCGTGTGGATTTTTCTCCGTGACCTCCGCTTTTTCCCTCACACATTTAGAATCAACAAGCATATCGAGTATTTGCCTGCTACACATTTCCACACGATGATAAGCCACTTTGGTGAGCTACCATTTGTGGCCAGGTCGCTTCTGAGAAATAGTAGGCCTTACCTGGTAAACATTTTTTTTAGCTTAGTTTTAGTTTGCTGTAGCTCTCACACCCCGTGTATAGGAGGAATGACTGCCATGCCCGGCACTTGATTGTGCCAATGTGTTTTTTTTTCAGCAGGGGGGGGGTTACACTTTCAGTAGGGTGGGGGGCCCAGCTCCCTCCCGCCCCCCCAGACGCTACGGGGGTGTGCGGGGGGGGGGTAAGGGAAGTACCTGGCTGGGGTGCAGAAGAGTGCATCACGGGTTGGAAGCTTTCTCCACCTCCTCCTTGGAGTTGTTGATGCAGTTTTCCACATTATCATGCTGGGGGGATGAGTTGACCAAGCAGTCTTTCCTGGTGGCAACATACAGGGGAGTAACATCACACACGGAGGAGTAGCATCTCATCTGCATTTCGTTTACAATAAATGTTTCCTCCCTGACCTATTAGTGGGGGTGGGGGGGGGGGAGCGGCGGGGCTGGTGGGGCATTGTGCCCTAGGCCTCAGATTTTGAGAGGGCCTCAGCAATAACAACAGGGGCTTCATCTCGAATTTTGTTTCCCCCGAGCCTTCAAGAACCTTTCGGCTCGCCTTGACAATGACGCCCCTCTCTGCCCTGAGAATATCCGTCCATCGTGCCGCCAACCAAAAGGCACGGCCGGGTTTGCGATACCAATGCGAGATTCCACCCGCTGTCGTCCGTCCCATTGCCTTGGGCCTTACTTCTCCTTGTTGGCGTGCATCCTCATGGCGAATTTGACGACTTTCTTGATGATGACGAAGAGGATGAGGAGGCCGGCGAGTCCACCCACCGAGGCGCCCACGATGAACATGAGGGTGCGGTCCTTGGGCTCGACTTGGGAGGTGGAGACGCGGGCACGCAGCAACGGGGGAAAGCAGCACAAGGGGTTGAGCGATTAGGCAAGCGACCGACCAGTCAACTCGTCCTTCCAACCAAGCAAATGACTGATTAGTCAAACACCGACGGAGCAACCATTCACCCCAATCATCTACCCAGTTAGCCATCCCACCAGTTAGCCAACCAACTCACATGTCCAAACAAACAACCGGCTGCCCGATCAGTCAACCAACCAAACAACAGATAAGTCAAGCAACCAACTGATCGACCGATAAAGCTCCCAATCAGTCAACCAAGCAAGAATCCAAGCTAGTTCGCAAACACTACCAGCCAACCAATTAGTCAATCGACCAACTCATGGTCCAATGGCCCGATCAGTCAACCAGGCAACTGCTGATTCAGTGAGAGCTGCAACTGACGACTGCCGAGTCTGGTGAAATGTCGCCAACCATGTTAACCGGAGGCGAATGTATGTATGTTGAACTTCTTTCGCACAGTACGTAGCCAACCTTACCAATCGGATGTGCGGGGGAAGGACACGTTTCACCGGGGGGGGGGGGGGGGGGGGGGGGGGGGGGGGGGGGGGAGATGGGAGGATCCAGCAGGACACACATACTCTCCGAGACGACGTTGAGGTACAGCAAGGTGGACGCGATCTTGAGCTTGTCGTCGAGGTGCCGGGCCGAGCAGTTGTAGACGCCCGAGTCCTCGAAGCGCGTGTCGTAGAGCATGAGCGACGCGTCCTCCTTCGCAATCTCGCCCGTCCACTGCAGACGCCCGCGGAACTGCGAAGCCTGCGTGTACCACGCCTTGCCCGCCTTCATGGAGAAGAGCTGCGTCGTGGCACCCCAGGCACGGCAGCCGAGCGCGCGGGGCCGGCGGCAACGCACGCCGGAGAAATCGGGAGCGTCGGTCGAGAAGAGGAGGGAGAAAGAGGAGGAATCATCGCACTGCAGGATCCGACCGTGTCCATCCAGTGCTCGCCGAGCTGCATTGACTCCCGGTTGCCGAACGAAAACATTACGAGGTCGCGCTCATTACGCACGAAGTGCTTGCCACAAACGAACCACAGCACCTTGCTGATCCCGTCAAGGAGCATAAAGCATCACACGACCTCCGGTCATTCTCGCAGCGACTTTTGGCGAGCCGTCGAACAAAGACGGTCACCGCATAGCGCGTTTTCAGATGCGCTTCTGCGGCCGTCTGGAACGCTCTTCCTTGCGATATTAGGAAGCCACTGGAGCCGTGCACTTTTAAATCTGTATTAAAACTAATTCCTTTAGAACTGCTTTTTTGCGTTACCTCCAATTAGCACGGTTAGCTGTGTACGGCGAGAAAGAAGTTGAACATACGCATGATCTCGATTTAAAGCTTTCGTGAATGCAGGGATTCATATTCTTGGTTCTTTTGGTAAAGTCACGTAGAAGGGATATAATAAAATAATACAAATAAAACAATTAAATTCTCACAAGCAATCATGATCAGGTGATTGATGATTGCTTGTGTTGCAATCGAAACGTCGTGAGAATTGTATTGTTTCATTTGTATTATTTTATTATTTCCCTTCTACGTGACTTTACCGAAAGAACCAAGAAAATACATACTTATGATCGTTCGGGTAGAAAACTACAGGACTATGGATAGGCGCTCCCAGTGCTCCATCGATACATGGCATGCCCACCTATCACTACGATGATCTCCACTCAGAGCCAGCATAGCAGCGTTACGGAGAATACCGAGTTGAACCTAAAAACTCGTTTTTTTATGTTACCAGGTAAGGCCCACTGAGCTAGACACCACTTTTTCGGAAGCGACCTGGCCACAAATGATAGCCCAACAAAGCGGCTCATCACATGGTAATTTATAGCAGCCGAATACTCTAAGCGCATGCCGATTCTAAATGTGGAGGGGAAAAAAACCGGAGGATCCAGAGAGAAAAACCCACGAACAACCACGGGGAGAGAGAGACACGCAAACCCCAAATATACAGCAGGCGTCGTCAGGGTCGGGATCGAACCCACGACCTCCTGCACACCAGGCGAGGGAGTTAACATCTCCTAGCCACCGCGACGTGCAGCCTGCGGATGAGGGCACGTGCTTTGTCAGTGGGTGTCCTGCGGGGGGGGGGGGGGGGGGGGAGGGGGTTCGGCCGGGCCGTACCGCGCGCTGTCTCAGCGTGGAGTTGAGGCCGTAGAACCAGTGCACGTTGATGACCGCGGCCTTCATGCGGTAGCAGGACATGATGCGGCACTTGAGGGTTACGTTCGTCCCGTTCAGCACCGTCAACTTGTTATCTTTGATCTCCACCTCGATGCACGCCATCGGCACGGCTGCAGGCAACAAAGACAACGATGCCCCCCACCCCACCCCGTGCACCTCGTTATAGACTGCTGGGGAAAGTGCCGTTCGCGGCCCACAACGGAGACTTGTGCGGCCGGAACCAACCTCGGCCAATCGCATTTGCTTCTCCCCTCCCCCCCCCCCCCCCCGTGCCGGTGTTTTGCGCACCGCACCAGGCACTCATTTGAGGCCGGGTCAACCTAGCGGATGCCCGGGAGAACAACTGAGATCATTCGGCACGATCCTTAAGGCACGGCCAGGAATTGACAGCGCAGTGCGCAAAACCACTGTGCCACCGCTCGCTTGCACGGCGACGAGCACGCGCGCGCACGTGAATGCAACCAGACTGATGTGCGCACACACACACACACACACGTGTGTACACGCATGCACACATGAGCACCACTGTTAGCCGTGGCGGCTGGGGATTTCACTCAGGTCGCTGGTTTCAACACCTGCGGACCGATGCGCTGCTGCTCCACCACCGTGCAGTCATTATCCTTGGTTGCAAAAATATACATGCGGGTCAGCGGCGTACACGAATGTGCGTTCAGTGCACCCTCAAATGGCAACGCCCCCGCGTTGACGATGAATTTCTCGTGAACTATAAATGTGCCGTCGTGCACGGGCGTCGCATTCGCTGGGCTGCCGCTCCCTCAAGCAGCAACGAGCAGCGCTGTTGAAGATGTACCGGGCGACATGTGTTTACTGAGCCGAGCAAGGTCGTCGTATGATCTTGGGGGAAGAGAGACGATGGGAGGTGTGAAGCAGAAACAGAAGCCACGTGGCCTGAAGTGCGGCAATGGTGGTGGTGGTGGTTGAACGCGCTGTGCGGGATGAGATGGAGCAGCCAGTCCTCGACGTGTACGGAATCGCGTGCGAGAGAACCGATGATTCAGAATGTGCGCGAGCTGTATGCAAACGCTGTGGTGATGCCCCTGTCGATGTTCCTTTCGGGCTAATGGAGTGAACGGAATGGTCAAAACAGGAAGAAAATGCGACCAAAGGATACACGGGCAAAGAGTGAAAATTCTACCGCATTTTAAAAAAAACAAGTTCTTCCTATCTATGTGTGTATGTTGAACTTCTTTCGCGTCGTACGTAGCCAACCGTGCCAATCGGAGGTGCGGGGGAAGAACAACAAACCAAAACACAAAAAGCAGTTCCCAAACAACAACGACCCTTCTTCACGGTGGTTCAAATTCATGGAAATATTCATGGCAATATGAACCACGGTATTAGCGATAGAGGAGCGATAAGAAAGAGGCGCCTTGACCGCCAACGAGCGAGTGACCGGAGTGAATCGAGCGTCGGCCTGGTAGCCTCGACATGGGATTCCCCGCCAGTGTGGTGGGCGTTGAGCACAAGGCGAGTGTTCGTGTGCGCCCTCCTCACCCAGCGCTAGGCACACCACCACCACCACCACCGGCGTCAGCCACGCGGGCCAGCGGCTGGACCCGCTCACCGCTGCTTCACTCCCGCTCGCCATACCTGGGGGGGGGGGGGCGGGGGGCGGGAGGGGGTCAGAGGTCACGCAAGCAGGGCAGAGGTCGCATAAGGCTTGACCCGCTGTTATTCCTCGTATTATTATTTTTTTTTGTTTGGCAGGGTGTTTAGGAACGCTACACGTTGAAGTTGAGGTTGGCGGGCCAGTGGAGGGCTGCAGGTGTGATGCTGTGAATATCTCAGAGGCTGTCAGTGAATGAGCAAAGTGGACATCATTGGACGATGCATTCCACGGATTTCGCTTTGATAGCCACCGTCACAATGTGGGCCGCTTCAATGAGCCCCACTGACATGGCCCTACTCAGCCACACAGCGCTAATCAGCTGCGAGGTGGCCAGAAGATGACAAGGCAGCAAATCCATCTAAAATATTTCATCTGTCGCAGCTTCTAAAGACACAAAAACCCAACACATTTGTCAATAACACTGTGATAATAGGTTTTTCCCCTTTTTTCTGGCAACAAAACAGGTGTTAAGATGTTAAAACACCAAACTGAAACATTTTTTCAAGGAATCATGTCTGCATTAACCACAATACTTGTGGTCAGAATGCAAACAAAAACACACTCTGATAATATATTGGCATTGTCTTTTAAACTGATTGGTCCACAGCAGAGACAGCTTTCTTTTGAGCCTCGTCTCAAACGGTGTTAGACCAGCGGACGCCAAAAGGCACTGTGCTAAAAGGGATATATATCAGCCAACGTTTCTAACAATGGTCCTTTTTCATAGCCCATTGCCCCAAAAACGTCACCTACGATGTGTCGTTTCCTTTGCAGGGCAGTGCTATCGGTGAACGCGCCGAGCTTTTGTTACACGCGTGCCTTGTGCGCCGGGACCAACGCGTCGGCGTCGCAAAAACAACTGTCGGAGAAACACAGCGGCGGTAAACAAAAAAAAAATACACCGCTCGAATCAACCGCGCACAAAAGCACCTCCGATTAGCACGGTCGGCTACGTGCGGAGCAGAAGAAGTTCAACGTGCAAAACGGTGCACGCCACGCCCGTTGAATGAAACACCGCGCGCGAGCGGCGCGCCTCAAGCCGGCCCCAGGAGCGGCGTAGCTTGGGCGTTTTGTTTTGGAACATTTCGCTGCGGCAAACGGAACGAAGCGGTTGTCACCTGTGAGAGGCCGTCGATCCACGTCGCCATGGCAGCGGCAGCCTGGGACCGGCCATCATCAGGGGGACGGTGGCCAGGATGCACGCTCGAGTAAGTGAGCCTATTTATATATATTTTATATATGTACTCTGTAAGAGTGTGTCTGTGTCTGGGGAGCGGTAGCATAGTGGTTAGCGCGCTGCTCTACAAACTCAAGTTTCCCCGAGTTCGATTCCCCCGCTCATGGCCGAACACCAGCGACGAATATCTGAACCGGTCCCGGGGATACTCATTTGAGTCCCGGGACAAATGAGCACCTGGTGTCGTGTGTAAACTTCCCCACTTGGGAAACAAAGGCAAACTAGGCGTGGTTCCGGCCAACCACCTATTTGTGTGCCATGCCGGCCTTCATTAGTGTTCGCTAACAGCACTTGCCCCGTAAAGTCTATTAAGGCTATACGGGGGGGGGGGGGGCGGGGGGTCTTTGTCTTGTGTATGACGTGTATTTGGGTGTGTGTAATTTGTTGGTATTATTATTTGTACGCGTGTACTTTGGATTTCTTTCGCTGTGTTTTCCAGTCGCGTCCCTCTTGTGTGCCCCTGATTATTGTTCCAACATTTTTTTACCTTCCAGAATTTTCCATCGTTCGTCGCCATTGTTTGCCATGACGACGAAGTCATTGGCAATTATGAGGTGGCCAACGTGCTCCCTGTTGATCTCCATCCCTTTTGTTCCTCCAAATGCAAGCCTCCTAATTGATTCCAATTGTGCAATCGGTGTCATGCCATGAGACAAAGGGCCCCATGCGCCAGGGAACAGCTTTGGAAGAGTTTATAAAAATATATATTTAAATGATATTCTTTCCACAGTAAAGAATGTACAGTAAAGAATATGATAACCCATTAACACCAACAGGAAAACTAAAAGTTGTAATTGTTCGGGAGAAAATGGAAGGAACCAGAAAGAGGAAGACCTTGCAGAGAACGGCTTGATGAGACGAGGACGTAATCATGAGAAGAGATCGGTGCCAGAAAGAAGTGGCCACTAGCTGAGCGATTTGGCACAAGACAGAGGGGAAAGTGGAAACAAATGACGAAATGTGTGTGCAGTGGACACCTACTCTGCCCACGGAGCGTGATGATCATGATGATGATGGCACCTTGGGGGTCGCACTTTACCGACACATTCTGCCCGGATATTGTTTTGTCACGTGACAGTGGAACCAACATTTGTTTTAAATCGTAGAGCTGGAATTCACTCAAATCAAATGTAAGGGCGGGGGGGAGGGGGGGTGCTTGCGTTTTATTGTCGTAATAATTGGTGCGTTCGTGGGTGCCTACCTGGCTTCTAAAGCAGGACCACAGCGGTGCCAGGCCAGCCCTCTGATCTCTGAGCCACCCAGCTATCTCCACCAGCAGTTCTCAATGACACGCGCCAACAACAACAACACACACCATCACCTAGGGGATTATCTCTGTCCCAACATGCATGACAAAGATTTGCTGTCATCCTTATATACTATCCAGGAACACGATGATAGCAAGCACGCATTAAGACCAGAAGGGCACACGAGGGAATTCACGTGGCCAGCCACGATCTCAACCACCTTTGTATCTCCGGTTCTGATATTTATACACAGCACCAATTTTCTCGCGGATAATGTTTACACACTTAAGGCGGATACTGTACTCGTATATCAGTTTGAGTCAGCCTAGCGGAGAGTTTCCGAGAATAGTTCCGGCACTGGTGTTAGCCGTGGACGGCGATTGAACTCGGGTTACCAGGATTGCATTGCGATTGCACGTACACAAGCGACAAAGGTCCCCCATATAGCCTTTAAAAGTTGAGCGAATACCTATTGTTCACAGACGTCTACTGCACATCTTGTAAAAAAAGAGCGTTACAGCTCATCGGATCCCCCACCCCCCCCCCCCCCAGTAAAATACAGATTCTGATTAAATCACGTAGATAGGTAAACATTTAAAAAATATATAATATATTTTTTATTAGACCCAAAGAATATTAATTCCTGCAGTCACGAAAGCTTTATGTCAAGAGTCTGATTAAGCCTGGCACGGCACAAGGCGCGCGAAGGGGTGGTGTGACCAGCACCATTGCCCCTGCCACCTGTCTTCACCCCATTGCCTCCCTCGTACAAGAAGAGTCTTGTGCAAAGACAAAGATCCCCCGTGTAGCCGTAACCAGATTGTTGGGGCAAGTGCTGTTAGCGAGTAGCACCTATGATGGCCGACACGTCACACGAGGCAGTCTCGGATTATCCTAGTAGCACGAGTAGCTACACGTGTAGTAGCTATGGGCCCCGTACTTTCAAGGGCCCCGCGCTAAATGCTTTCAATTCCGGTTCAGTGATTCTGCACTTGCTCTATTACTAGAGTACTATACTGCCTTCGACTTTTATGAACGACTGCGGTGTTTAAGGTTAGCGATTTGTCGTGTTATCTGGCTGTATAGCAAATGAAAAAACACAATTACTTTACTGTGAAAGTAAAAAAGGTATGTTTTAATATTTACGTTTTTTTTATTTAGGGTCCCTTTATAACATATGCTACAGGCCCTGCACTAGCTTAATCCGGCACTGCACATGATGGTGGTGGGTGGCCAACACCCCGCCCGGCCGCCTTTGTCTCCCCCAGTGGCAACGTTCACACACCGCACCGGGTACTCAATTGAGGCTGAGTAGACCCAGGGGAGATGCCCAGAACCGGTTCATATAGTCGTCACTGGCGTTGACCGTGAGCGGGAATCGAACCCGGGTCGCCGGAATCGTAGCATAGCACGCTAACCGCTACACTACACACACGCAAACGTGGACACACACACAAACATGGACACACACACAAACATGGACACACACACACACACAAACATGGACACACACACAAACATGGACACACACACACAAACACACACACAAACATGGACACACACACACAAACATGGACACACACACAAACATGGACACACACACACACATGGACACACACACACAAACATGGACACACACACAAACATGGACACACACACACAAACATGGACACACACACATGGACACACACACACAAACATGGACACACACACAAACATGGACACACACACAAACATGGACACACACACAAACATGGAAACAAACATGGACACACACACAAACATGGAAACAAACACACAAACATGGACACACACACAAACATGGACACACACACAAACATGGACACAAACATGGACACACACACAAACATGGACACACACACAAACATGGAAACAAACACACAAACATGGACACACACACAAACATGGACACACACACAAACATGGACACAAACATGGACACACACACAAACATGGACACACACACAAACATGGACACACACACACAAACATTGACACACACACATGGACACAAACACACAAATATTGACACAAACACACACAAACATGGACACAAACACACACAAACATGGACACACACACAAACATGGACACAAACACACACAAACATGGACACACACACAAACATGGACACACACACAAACATGGACACACACACATGGACACACAAACATGGACACACACACACACATGGACACACAAACATGGAAACAAACACAAACATGGACACACACACAAACATCGACACAAACATGGACACAAACATGGACACACACAAACATGGACACACACACAAACATGGACACACACAAACATGGACACACACACAAACGTGGACACACACACAAACATGGACACACACACAAACATGGACACACACAAACGTGGACACACACACAAACGTGGACACACACACAAACGTGGACACACACACAAACATGGACACACACACGCAAACATGGACACACAAACACAC